AAGGAGTGGAGATTGGTTACTCAGTACAGGTCACCCAAGGCCTCTAGTCCTTTCTTTACCGAGGACTGTACGCAAAGGCCCTCGTTGCGCCTATCCAGATAGGTAATGGGAGTACTAGTGGTAACTGTTTGACATTTTATCCCACACATGAAGGCAGTACTGAGTGGAAGGCAATAGTGATTTGATAGATGGATGTATGGAGTATGGGGTTTTGAATAAGTGGCACACTCTTCAAGGGTGGATCAGGGAGTCCTCCATGTCCACCCAAAGCAGCTGACCTGTTGGGGTAAACAAAACTGCGCATTGGGTGAGAATTGCTGCTTTGTGATATGTGACAATGTAAGACAGTCTCAGACTCGCCACAGTACATCATGTTCATGATTCTTCTGCTTATTCTCCTTGGCTTATGATAGTCTAAATAACTGTTAAGGCCTTTTTGGATCAACTTTAGGAGAGTATCTAGAATTTTAAGGGGGATAGTACAGAGTAAGTATATTTAATTAGCACTGTCATCATAAGGGTTGCTATACTGCCCAGCCAAGAGAGGTCAAGGTGCTCCACTTAGTGAGGCTATGCTAAATATGGGCCCATTGTTTTCTTAAGTTAAGAGAAACGATCGTCTGGACATTTTTAGGGATTAAAATCTGTGACAGACCACCAGAATGTCGCTGCCAAGGATTTCCTTAGTGTTAATAGCTACTAGAGTATTTTCAGTGTGTTATAGCTCTATAGCCGATCCTCCCCGAGCACTAACCAAAACTCAGTGTAGGGTGACGTAGTACTGGTTTATTGTCACAACAGGCCACACTTTTATACCTGGGGTCTCAACAGGAAGTCCCCTGGGAGAACAAAAGAATTGGGACGTCCTCGGTGCCTTCGTGTCTGTACCTGAACAGGTAATTTAATTAGTCAGACACTTTGGCACTGGGGTAGCAAAACACCCAATAACCAAGGTTCCCATGCCCACATCCCCACACAACCAGTGTCCCCTGGAAGTTTGTGTCAAAGCACCCATTTTGTCCAAAAAGTGCTCTGTGCAATGCTCATTGGCGCTGGGTGGAAAGTCCCTGTCACCCAAAACAACAGCACTTTCCATGGATCCTTGTAGCTCCCCCAAGTCCAGGGTATATATTTTTTTGTAATTCATATTTTATTGACAGTTTTATGGTGGATAGGGGTACAGAAGACAAGGGGGGGGGGGGGCTCACAAGTAATTAAAATATTCCACATGTCAAGTTGTTCGTTTAACATTTTCATCTCAAATAGTAATTTCTAGCAGTACGGATAAAGTATCATTATCTATCACAACATAATTGAGACACATCATAAGTAACATTTATGCCAATGATGCATGTACATTCACACATACGTATGCTCATACCCTAGGGGTCTCTTATATAGATATATATATTTCCCCTGTCTAGCTCGGGGTATTAGTTTCTGTTTGCTGAGATCATAAGTAACTGATTACAAAACCTTTTGTGTGTCTATTCTGCTAGTTAACTCTCAAGTTATGGTAAAGGTAATAGTATGGTTACCAAGCTCATGAGTGTAGTTCGTGCGTCAGTTCTTGTGCGAAATTGTATCAGCGTCAGTCGCCGTTACCTCAAATGGATCGTGGTGGTTTTAACATATTTGGGTTTCAGTCTAATAAATTGTTTGTATGTAGACTCAACTTAGTGGTAAGTCATCTGGTACAAGGTGTGATTACCCCAAACTGGGCCTATACGTTACACATATTCTTAGGTGTATGGTTTGAGGTTGGTCCACCTGTGCCAATTGTCATGTGCTATGGTAATTTGTTTGTGTGTATTGGCTGACAACGTTTCATACTTAAGATATTGTATAATTTTTTGTTCCAGCATTGAGGGTGATGGGCATTCGCTTTTTTTCCAATGAGTTGCAATTAGGTTACGAGCCGCTAGTATCGATATCACCACAATGTGTTTGTCTTGGGGGAGGATAGGTGTAGGAAGCAGGAGAAAGAGGCCTAGTTCAGGTGTCAGTGGTATATTTGGTATCCCCAGAAGGGACCATAGTGTCACGTATTCATCCGCTTATAGAAATGTGGTTAATGACATTTACTGTCCACACAAGAAAAGTTGTGCCGAGCAGCAACCTAATCCACAGAAGGGTTAATGCTGAGCAGTAATTGTGCAAATGAAACCTGGTGTCATGTATTCATCCGCTTATAGAAAAGTGATTAATGACATTTACTGTCCACACAGGAAAAGTTGTGCCGAGCAGCAACCTAATCCACAGAAGGGTTAATGCTGAGCAGCAATTATGCAAATGAAACCTGGTAACTGACTTTGGGGTCAAAGGCCGGTTACAGCCTATCAGAACAAAAGGAGGGGTATTTAGGCCCAGTTCTCAGCCTGCTCAGTGCCCTGTCGTGGTTTCCCTTGTGGTTGTCTGAGAGCGCGTTCCTGTTTATAGTTTTCTACCTGGTTTTTGACTTTGGCTTTGTTTATTGACTTCTCTATATTCTGGTATCCTGACTCCTGGCTTTCCTCATCGCTGTGTCCCTTTCTGTGTTCCCTGACCTCGGCTAGTATTTTTGACTATTCTTTGTACGTTAAATCCGGCCATTCTAAGGACCGGTAATACGTTACTTATTTGTCATCCATGCTGTACAGTTCTACGTGCTGGATCAAACAGTAATCCTGACATTACATGGCCATAGATCCTGTAGAACTGTGTCAGCACATAGCTGCTTGCGAGAGGAAATTAGAGGAGAATGATCACCGCATGGATCAATTCACTCAGGCTTTAAGTACGCTTCTCGCTAGAACGGAGCATCTGCAGCCTGCAGCGTCTCCTCCTATAGCACCTCTACCCTGTGTACCTCCACCCACTGTTAATAGGACTCCTTGCATCTCCTTATCACCATCCCTACAGTTTGATGGCAATATCCAGGAATGCAGGGGTTTTCTTAATCAGGTGGAGTACCATTTTGAGGCCTCACCAGGGTCATTCCCCACGGACAGAGCAAGAATTGGTTATCTAATGAATCAATTAAAGGGCAAGGCCCTTGCCTGGGCTAATCCGTTGTGGGAGAGTAATCGGAGCATAGCTCATAATTACCAGGAATTCCTTGCCGAATTCAAGCTCACATTTGAGCCATTGGGTAGAGAGGATGACGCCTCCACTGCCCTAATGCACATCAGACAAGGTAACCGGTCTATCTCGGATTATGCTATTGAATTCCGTACCTTAGCTTCCGAGGTAGACTGGACTAACAATGGGTTAATCTCAGCATTCAAAAAGGGTCTCTCAGAGACTATACTAGATGAGATAGCCGCTAAAGAATTACCTAAGAGTCTTAACGAATTTATTACGTTTGTCATGCATATTGATAATAGGTTAAGACTCAGAGAAGTCACCAGAAGCAAGACCAGACGTACGGCTATGTCCCTAGCACCTCAATTCTCTAAACCTGTTTTGTCTAACCTCCCTGTACAGTCCAAACCCGAACCTATGCAGTTGGGGGTCACTAGACTGTCAGAGGCCGAAAAACAGTATAGGAGAAGGGAGGGGTTATGCCTATATTGCGGTAGAAAGGGACATATGATAACTAATTGTCCAGTGCGTCCGGAAAACTTCCGCACCTAAGAACCTTAAGGGGACAGATCTTAGGTGTGATGGAGTTGTCCTCTAACAAAAACAAAAGTAGATTCCTCCTTGAGGTATCTATTTCCCTTGATAACAAGAAGTTTTCTTGCAGTGCCCTAATGGACTCAGGTGCTGCTGGAAATTTTATTGATGTCCAGTTTATTAGGGGTAATGAGATACCGGTCAGGGAGAGACCTACGCCGCTAGCTGTAGAGGCTATTGATGGTAGACCACTCACACAACCGCTTATAACCCACGAAACTGTCCCTATTACGATCTCCATTGGGGCCTCCCATAGGGAGGAGATGACGTTTCAGGTTATTACTTCTCCATCATGTCCTATCATATTAGGGTTTCCGTGGCTGAGTAAGCACAATCCCTATATTGACTGGGCTAATGGGGAGATATTAGAATGGGGTAAAGAGTGTATGGGGAGATGTATAAAACCAGTACTAAAGAGATTGGATACTATTGACCTTCCCACTACCACTCCCCAAACTCCTGGAGTTCCCATACAATACCGAGAACTTCAGGAGGTGTTTAACAAGGCTCAATCCGATGTATTGCCTCCCCACAGAGCATATGACTGTGCCATTAACCTGTTTCCAGGCGCTATGCCACCTAAGGGGGCAGTTTATGCCTTATCTCCCCAGGAGAGTAAAATAATGGAGGAATACATCAAAGAATCCTTGAGCAAAAGGCACATAAGAAAGTCATCCTCACCAGCTGGTGCAGGATTCTTTTTTGTTGAGAAAAAGGGTGGTGAGTTACGCCCTTGCATAGACTACAGGGCACTTAATAAAATCACTGTAAAAAATGCATACCCTATCCCACTCATTTCCGAATTGTTCGATAGACTTCAGGGAGCTAAAGTATTTACTAAGCTTGACCTTAGGAGCGCTTACAATTTGGTTAGAATTAAAGAGAATCATGAGTGGAAGACGGCATTTAATACCCGTAGTGGACACTATGAATATCTGGTAATGCCATTTGGGTTATGCAACGCCCCGGCCGTATTCCAAGACTTTATAAATGATGTACTCAGGGAATTCATTTACTCATTTGTCTTGGTTTATTTGGACGATATTTTGGTGTATTCCCCTGATCTTCAAACTCACCACTCCCATGTGAAACAGGTTCTGCAGACGTTGTTGAAAAATAAACTTTATTGTAAATTAGAAAAGTGCATATCTGACCAGCCTGAAGTCCACTTTTTGGGTTACAACATCTCTGCATCGGGATTTCAAATGGATCCTAAAAAACTAGAGGCTGTACTACACTGGCCATTACCCTCTGGTTTAAAAGCCATTCAAAGGTTTATTGGTTTTGCCAACTATTACAGAAGATTCATCAAGGGATTTTCTTCTGTAATAGCCCCAATCACAAATATGACTCGCAAAGGGGTTAGTAGCACAGTATGGTCCAAAGAGGCTGTGAATGCTTTTGAGACTCTTAAACAAAGATTTGCCTCTGCGGACATACTAAAACATCCTGACACCAGTAAACCTTTTATATTGGAGGTTGATGCATCCGAGACAGGGGTAGGGGCTGTTCTCTCTGAGAGAAAGCCAGGGAACACCATTGCATCCTTGTGGCTACTTCTCCAGAAAGATGTCTCCTGCTGAGCGCAACTATGATATTGGCAATAGAGAACTATTGGCCATTATTCTTGCCCTCAAGGAGTGGCGACATCTTTTGGAGGGTTCCAAGGACCCCCTGTTGATCATAACCGACCACAAAAATCTGGCATATATAGGGGATGCCAAACGTTTGTCTTCCAGACAGGCTAGATGGTCACTGTTCCTTTCACGTTTTAACTTTCTCATTACTTATAGACCTGGTTCTAAAAATACCAAGGCTGATGCCTTGTCCAGGCAATTTGATAATGAGTCAGCTCCGGAACAGATGACATCTCCTATTATTCCACCAGAGTGTATTATTGCTACTACTGTCCTCTCACTGTCTTCTCCACTGCTTGGCACCATACTGGAGGCCCAGCCTCAGGCGCCCAGTGGTAAACTGTGTGATAAACTGTTCGTTCCCCTATGTGAAAGGGTTAATATCATGAAAGTGTTCCATGACAATATAACTGCTGGACACCCGGGCATCAATAAGTCCACTGCCGCGATCACTAGATCATTTTGGTGGGATTCACTCAGGAAAGATGTAAAGGAGTATGTGCAGGCATGTTCTGTGTGTGCAGTTTCTAAGGTGACTCATGCACTTCCTTGTGGCCTGTTGCAGCCTCTTCCTGTTCCTGAGATTCCATGGTCCCACTTATCCATGGACTTTATTGTTGAGCTTCCTAGCTCTGCTGGGTTCACTACTATTCTCATGGTTGTAGACCGATTTTCTAAGATGGCTCACTTCATTCCTCTCAAGAAGTTGCCATCTTCGCAAGATTTGGTCCTAATTTTCATACGTGAAATTGTCCGTTTGCATGGCATCCCCCACAATATTGTGTCTGATAGGGGCTCTCAGTTTGTGTCCAGGTTCTGGAGGGCGTTCAGTAAACAATTGGGGATTGATCTCTCCTTCTCCTCCTCCTACCATCCACAGACCAATGGTACAGCTGAGAGGGCTAACCAGTCATTAAAAGTTTTATTTGCGTTGTTTTATTAATAGCACACAGGACAATTGGTCCCAACTACTCCCGTGGGCCGAGTTCGCTAGAAACAATGCTGTTCATGACTCCTCTGGGCACAGTCCATTTTTTGTCAATATTGGTAGGCATCCTACGGTTCTCCCTGCGGTATTTTCTGATACTGCCATTCCTGCTCTGGATGAGCGTCTGGCCTCCATTCGGGATACCTGGGTTAAGGTTCAAACTGCTCTAGGGGCTGCTGCTGAACGCTTCAAACATTTTGCTGATAAGCGTAGGAGTGCCAACCCGGTGTACCAAGTGGGGGACCGGGTTTGGTTGTCATCTCGCAACATCAAGCTTAAGGTCCCTAGCATGAAGTTTGCCCCCAGATTCCTTGGTCCCTATAGAGTGCTTCGTAGGATCAATCCAGTGTCTTACTCTCTGGCTCTTCCTGCATCTTTAGGGATTCCCAACACTTTTCATGTGTCCTTACTCAAACCTCTTGTCTGCAATAGATATACTGTTCCTTGTGTTCCTCCCCCTCCGGTGGTGGTGGGTGGTCAGGAAGAGTATGAGGTATCTTCTATCGTGGATTCTAGGTTTTCTCGGGGCACTTTACAGTACTTGGTTGTTTGGAAAGGTTACGGTCCTGCTGATCGTTCTTGGGTTTCGGCTCCTGACCTGCATGCGGGCCGTAAGATCCGCGCTTTTCATGCTAAATTTCCTCTCAAGCCTGGTCCTGTCCGCCCGGTGGGCGTTCTTCAGGTGGGGGGTAATGTCACGTATTCATCCGCTTATAGAAATGTGGTTAATGACATTTACTGTCCATACAGGAAAAGTTGTGCCGAGCAGCAACCTAATCCACAGAAGGGTTAATGCTGAGCAGCAATTATGCAAATGAAACCTGGTAACTGACTTTGGGGTCAAAGGCCGGTTACAGCCTATCAGAACTAAAGGAGGGGTATTTAGGCTCAGTTCTCAGCCTGCTCAGTGCCCTGTCGTGGTTTCCCTTGTGGTTGTCTGAGAGCGCGTTCCTGTTTATAGTTTTCTACCTGGTTTTTGACTTTGGCTTTGTTTATTGACTTCTCTATATTCTGGTATCCTGACTCCTGGCTTTCCTCATTGCTGTGTCCCTTTCTGTGTTCCCTGACCTCGGCTAGTATTTTTGACTATTCTTTGTACGTTAAATCCGGCCATTCTAAGGACCGGTAATACGTTACTTATTTGTCATCCGTGCTGTACAGTTATACGTGCTGGATCAAACAGTAATCCTGACAAATAGGCCATAAATGTCTGCCCATAGTGGCGCTATCACCCGGCATTCCCACCAAATGTGGGTCATAGTTCCCTTCTGCTGCCCACACCTCCAGCACCCACCCAGAGTGAGGGGGTATATTCTATGGAGTTTGTCGGGAGTATAATACCAACGGTATATGATCTTTCTATGGGCCTCAATATGTGAGTAGACTGTGGTTACACCCCTGAGGGAAGTAGTGAGTGTGTCCTGCCACTCTTTTTCAGAGAAGTCTAGAGGGCATTCTTTTTCCCATTGTTTTTTATAGGCGAATTCTTGTGGAGTAGTTTGGTTTCCCAGTACTGCATATCCCAGAGATAAAGTTTTATTTTTTGTCGGTGCTGAATGGCATCTATCGTAGAGTTTGGCTGATTCCCACTCTATATTTTGTGGCCCCGTTGCTGATTGTGCCACTTTATCTATAACTATGCTTTTTAATTGGAGATATGGAAAGATAAAGGAGGGGGGGAGATTAAACATTGATTGTAATTTTGGGAAGGGTAGTATCTTCCCCTTGTGGCATATATCTTTAATGCGTTTAGCTCCTAGTTCCTTCCATTTGTTCAGGGATAGCCATGGGGAGATCGAATGAAGCGCCCATATTGGCGCCCAATATGAGAATTTTTTACCATTCTGATGTGAGCGGTGAAGGTGATCCCATATTTGGACAGAGTATTGGGTTAAGGGGAGGAGTTTATGGTTTTTGTCTCTCAGGTGTTTGGGGGTCCACATATAGTCTATCACCAACCCTTTAGGACCATATTGGTTTTCAAGGTCTACCCATTGTAGTGTTAAGGTCGGTGCATGTAATTTCACTGCATTTTCTAGGATTGCAGCTTTGTGATATTTCATGATATTGGGGAAGCCTACTCCTCCTTTCATGCTAGGGGATTGTAGTAGGGTTAACAGTAGTCTCGGTTTCTTTTTCTCCCAAATATAAGCTGAGAGCAAGTTTTGAATTTGTTTGCCCAGAGTGGGCGAGAGGGGTATTGGCAGCATTCTAAATACATACAACAGTTTCGGAAGGACCATCATTTTAATAGCATTAATTCTGCCTAGCCATGACATCATAACATCTTTCAATTTATGTAGGACCTGTTTACACATTTGTAGTAATGGGAAAAAATTGAGTTTATTGATACCTCTGGATGTGGCGGCTATTTTTACTCCCAGATAGATGAGGTGTGTGTTCCTCCAATCAAAGGGGAAATCTTTTTTTAAATTTAGATACTGTTAAGGAGGGTAAGCGCAGAGGTAGGGCTTGAGTCTTTGATTGGTTCAGTTTATAATAGAACACTTTGCTATAGTCCTCTAGGGTGCTGATAAGGTGTGGTAAGAAACACTCAGGTTGAGACATGGTAATGAGGACATCGTCTGCAAACATTGACAATTTATAATCTGAGGATCCGATAGTAATCCCTGTTATATCTGGTAGGGCTCTGATTTTACATGCGAGTGGTTCTAAGGAGAGAACAAATAGTGATGGAGACAATGGGCATCCTTGACGGGTGCCATTGGTAATAGAGAAGGGGGTCGATATAAATCCTGCATTGGAGACTCTAGCAGTCGGATTCGAGTGTAATGCCATGATTCCTCTAAGATATGTTGCGGGGAAGCTAAATTCAGTAAGGACCTGTTCCATATATTCCCAATTTAGTCTATCGAAGGCCTTCTCTGCGTCCAGCGCCAGGAGAAGGCCCTCCTTGTTATGTGTTTCCATATGTGCCAGTATATTTAACACTTTCCTCGTATTATCCGAACCCTGCCTATTCAGTACAAATCCTGATTTATCTTTGTGAACTATGCGGTTGAGAATGTCTTTCAATCTGTCTGCTAAGATTTTCGCCGTATCAAGGAATTGTGTGATATGTTCTTTGAGTTGGCAAGGCGGGTTTTTAATTTAGATGCGAGGAGGGATCCTGCTTTATTGCCTTGGGTGACAAATTTGTGTTTATATCGTTGTAAGATATAGTTGGTTTTATCGGTTTCTAATTCACGTAGTTTTGTTTGTAGGATTTGTAGTTGTTCTTGATGCTTCGGTGCCGGATTTAGTTTGTTAGTATGTGTATGTGTTGCTATCTGTTGGATTAAAGTGGTATAATTGTGGAGCCGCTATCGTTTTGCGTAGCTAGCATGTTTTATGAGTACTCCTCGGAGTACAGCTTTATGGGCTTGCCATATCACGTCCATGGGAGAGGATTCGGTAGTGTTTATTTGAAAGTAAGATGTAAGTTCTGCCTTAATTTGTTCTAGGATTGCAGGATCTCGCAACAAGGATTCATTGAACCTCCATGATCCCATCCCTTTGTTGGGGTATTGGGCAGTTAAGGTAATAGAGATTGGGGCGTGGTCAGACCACGTTATGAGGCCTATGTGTATAGATTGGATTTTAGTTATCATTGAGGAATGTAATAAAAATCTATCAATTTGCGAATACGAATTGTGGACTTGCGAGTGAAAGGTAAAGTCCCTTTCAGTGGGGTGCAACACTTTCCAAGCATCCAGAAAGCCAGTGTTATGCAAATGCTGTTGGATAGCTTTGGTTGTAGTTAGGCGTTTCTTAGCCGTCGCTCGGGAGATGTTTAAGTTGGAGGTGGTGTCAAGGGTGCCATCTAAGAGAAAATTTGTATCGCCTCCTATCACTAGGTTACCGAATTTATGAGAGTTGGCTAGGGCAAGTATTTTATCTAGATACGTCGATTGATTGAATTGTTTGGATGTAAATTAAGGCATTTTAGAGTTTAGGAAGAGGGTTTCCTGAAAGAATGCTAGT